GGTCAAGGAAAGCTTCTCAGCAGAGGTACTGGGTTGAGCTGAATCATGACTGACATGAAGGGAGCACCCATGATAGTATCTAGGGGAGGAGCATTGCAGGTGGAGAGAACATCTAATGCCAAGGGTCATGAATTGTAAAGGACCTAAGATTTTACCTTTCTTGCAAGATAGCAAGGTAGTCTGACTTAGTAGTGTGGATGCTGACAGAAGACATGAGACTACTGGGTCAGAGCAAGATATTTTATTATTCACAGCAGCAGGCAGCACGCTCTTCCTTTCACCGTGCTTCTCCTTGCTCCCCTCCCATGGTCAGTGTTCAGAGATAAAGTCAGTATAACTTGCTCATGGATTTGGATGTGCAGAATAAGAGAATCACAGAAATTTAAGATGATGATACAGTTTGGCTGTGTCCTCATGCAAATCTCATCTTGAATTGTAGTTCCCATAATCCCCTCATGTCATGGGAGAGAACTGATATGGGATAATTGAATCATGGGGGCAGTTTCCCCCATGTTATTCTCATGAGAGTGAGTGAGTTCTCATGTGATCTGATGGCTTTATAAGGGGTTTCCCCATTCACTCAGCTGTCATTCTTCTGCTTCCTGTTGCCATGTGAAGAAGGACATGTTTGCTTTTCTTTCTGCCATGATTGTTAAGTTTTCTGAGGCCTCCCCAGCCATGCTGAACTGTGAATCAATTAAACCTCTTTCCTTTATAAATTACCCAGTCTCAGGTATCTTTATTAGCAGTGTGAGAATGGACTAATATAGGTGATTTCTAGATTTGAGGCTCTACCCCAAAAAGTATGAATTGAGGGGCCAAGTAAGGGGTGGAAAGGACTCAAAAGTAGTACTCTGAGTATGAAAAGGTTGTGGTGCCTACTGACATCTAAGTGGAGGGACAGAGAAAGCAGCTGGGCCTAAGAGTTTGGAGCTTCAGGGCAAGGTCAAGGCTGGAGGTCTAGACCAGTGAGGCCCTGGCAGATGGAATGTGCTAACAGCCCTGGTACTGATGAGCTCACTTGAGAACACTTGCCACGTTTACCATACTCGTCTGGTCAGCAGAATCACCTGGAACACACGTTAAAAACACAGGTTTCCATGTCCTTTTCAGATCTTGCATTCTAAAATTTTATGACTAGATAGAGATATATTTCTGCACACATTCAATATGTACTGAGTGTTTATTGAGCACCTATTATGTTTCAAGCACTGTGCTTGTTGTGATTGGTGAAGCTTTAACAGCATCCTGTGGTTATGAAGAAAGGCCAAGAGAACCACTTAGACTTTGGCACTGACTTCATTGAACCAATAGACCAGCATCTAATATCTACCTCCAGACTTCTCACTAGGAGGGAAAAATAATCCCTTATTTGTTTAGGTTATAGTGAGGTTTTTTGGTTTGTATTAGTTTCTGTCAAAAGCATTCTGACCTGATATACACATTTTATTATTCTACATATAAAACTAGTAAACAAATAAAATAAAACAAATCTCTTTGGGGAAGGGAGCCTTTAATTCATGTTTGATTAACTCAAGCTGAATAAGCCAAACTCCCTTAAACCATCAGTCTCAGTTACAGGCTCTGTTTATTAAAATCTCTTAAACATTCTAAACTTCTGGTACAATTTATCATATTTTATTTTCTATTTTAGCATTTCAAATCATTGATATGACAAGATTATAGCCAATTAAGACAAAATATTCTCATATATTTAAGCATCTCTTGTAAATCTAATACACTACACTTATAAACATAGTAAATCTAGTCTAATACTGTAATGAGCTAAGTTAAATATTCTCATACCTTTCAACTTCAAATCACAAACTTAAAATCAATTTCATATTTCAAATTGGAATCATAAGCTTTTTAAATATTCAAATCACTTAAGGAGCATACACAAGATTGTTCCTAAACTTAACATGAAAGTGTCAATATTATGGATTTGAATTATTGCATTATTTCCATAATGAGTTCCACACATCCTCAGACTTGGAAAATCATTTACCCAACAAGGGAACAGATGTGCTATTTACTGTCGTCAAGGACTCACGCCCGCAATATGGTGGACATCTCAGATGAGCAGAGGTTGCTTAGGATCTCAGGTCAGGAGACAGTACTCCAGTGCTGGAAGACAGTGCCCTGAGTGCTATGGTTACTATGGCAAGAGGAGGCTCCCAGTTTTCACCCTTCAGAGGGGTTTGATTTTAGAATCTTTATTCAAATTACCTCCTAAGTATTATTTTTATTTTTAATTATTAGAGTAGAAGGAAGTTGGCGACTCCACCTAGGTTAGCTAACAACTTCCTTTATGATCTCATTGGCTTTTGCGTTTACTTGGCACTCTGCAGGCATTGCTAACATATTTCCATCTCACTCTAACGAAATTTAAATGCTGTTGAATTTAATCCTGAACATTTGGCTCTGAGCCATGACTCTCAGGTCATGATAATAACATAAACCATTCCCCTGCCTCATGACTTTTTGGGAATTTCCCAAATGGGATTATAGCCTCTCACATTTCATTAGAACTACTGTATTTAGCTTGGCAGGTTTTTGGCTTCAGGGACTGTTCTCCCTCGAGCCTGCCCCTGGATGTCCTGGACATCATTTGCTGAGGCCACCCAGGTAGGGAGTGGACCTGGCATCAGCCTTAAATGCGTCAGCCCATTCCCTCCAATCCCCTGCTGGAAGTTCCTTATCATTCCCACCTCAAGTTCTCTGCTATTCACCCTCTCTAAAAGGTAGATAAACGCAGCTTTTTTTGAGTGTCCAGCCTTTTTTGTGGGGTGAGTGGGGTAGGAGAAGGGAGGCACAGTGGCAGCAGAGCTGGAGCAACATTCCTTCTGGACCTCTCATTACTTGTATATATGTGTGAATTGAAAACATGATGTTACCGTTGTTTCCATTTCACACAAATTATAAGAGAGCACTCTGCTGATACCTAGCAAAACAACAATTATATTTCTCACGCCTCTCAGGCAAAATATCCACTGATAACTCTGTTTTTCTTCCACTTACCGATATTCCTAAAAGATGCTTACAAAATGTCTTTTCAAATATCACATCAGTTTGAATACTCTTTGGGAACTCCAATATTTAGAAAAACTAGCCTGGGTGTGGTGGTGTGCACCTGTAGTCCCAGCTACCTGGGAGGCTAAGGTAGGAGGATCACCTGAGTCCAGAAGTTGGAGGCTGCAGTGAGCTATAATCACATCACTGAATTCTAGCGTGGGTGACAGAGCAAGAATAAAGTAAATAGAAAAACCAATTGGTGGATCATCTTTGTAAGGTGAATCACCCCCAGTTTGTAAATTTGGCTTAAAACCCTACTTTACTGGGGTTTGAACATGTGCAATAACTACCCCCAATTTCATGCATCAGAGAAGTCACTCTTCCTTTCATAGGGAGGAGAAAATAAAAAGAAATACTGAAGTGTCCTCCAATACTTCTTGATGGAAGTTTCCATTTTGTGGGCAGAGGCAGGGATGTCTAGGAAGAAGTCAATCTTAGTTCCACTTTCTGTATGTTTGTATCGATTTTCTTTGGCCCAAAGTGATACTCTATTTAAAGCTGTATTAGACAAATATCAACCGATCTTAGTGTTTCAGAAGAAAATCTTTATGCTTTTCACTGTCCTCTTCTGATTTCACCAATTTCTTCAATTTTCCTTCTCCCCTCCTTTTTTTGTTTGTTATATCCAGTTTTATTTTCTAAATTCAGAGTTAGGTGTTTTGGGGAAGAGACATCCAGCACCTACACACTTCTGGGCCCCCTTCCTTGCAGGTGCAGGGGGATGACATTGATGACATTGCTCCACCCCCTGTGAGGTCACATGACTAATTCTAGCCAAAGGGCTATGAGAGTGAGGAGGTCACTCCTGGGCCAACGTAGGAAGGAATTGTTGGGGTGAGCTCTTCCAGTGTTTCCTCCCCCTGCTGCCTCTAGGAAGGAGGCAGCCATGCCCTGGAAGGTGTATCCCACCAGATTATTGGGTTACCCCATGCAAGTAATTGTCTCGGAGGGTTTCAAGGCCCACAGGGGACTTTGCCTGCCCAACAAATGAATTTTTATCATGTCAAGTCACAAGCATTGCATTTGTTGATTGCCAATGCCCCATGGTTCTCAAAATGTGGTACCCAATCACCAGCATCAGCAACACCCTGGGAATACATTAGAAACAGAGCATTTGGGCACCACCCAGCCCTGCTGAATCACACACCCTGAGGGTGCAGCCCAGCAATCTGCGCTTTAACAGACCCCTACATGAGTGATGCCAGCAAGTATGAGGACCATGGCTCTACCCTGTGCTGGCTAACACAGCTTTCAGTTAAAAATTCCCTCTCGGCAAAGTGGAGTCTTCAGGTGAGTCCTATCAGTAAGACACAAACCATTTTCAAGTTTCTTAAGTAAATATACTTCCTCGCAGTGATGCAATCATTCCATTATTTTTTCTGTTTTAAGGCCTCAAAACAGCAAGAGGATCTATAAGCCTGCCAGACCACTATTTCTAACTTTGAGCACAGTTGTCACATGACTACTTTATGAACACATAAAAGAAGGTTAGTAAGAGCTTGGGGCTGCAGAGAGAAGGAAGAAAATTATCTTTATTCTTCTAGACACCACTGATGGCTGGGGGGCTGTACTGATTTGCCCTGATCACGATGCTGCAGCAGAAATTAGTGTGGGGTGTGCTTGGGGCAGAAGAAGTGTCTGGTGTTTCTGGTCCCTAGAAGACCCTCCATTCCAAGGGGCAGGCAGGCTGAAATGGATTTTACGTTCCTTCCCAGGGCTTCCTTCCTCTTCTTGATTACTCAGTCGGTTCCCTGCAAGCAATGTGAGCTTCTGGCCTTATTTCTCCTCTGATTCTCATTTTCATGCCTCAAACTATCCAACTAGGGGACATTCCAAAACAACCCAATGAAATAAGCATAATATCTGCACCTTCAGTAAATCGCTTAACCTAATGATGGACTTAGAGGGCGTTTTTAGGCAAATTATTTATATGACTGAAAGAAATGCTTATTTACATGTATTTCCATTCAGATTTGACTGTGTTCAAACATAAATTTAAAATAAGAGTATAATGAGAACGCTATCTGCTCTATCTAACATTTTACCATGTTAGTTCTCGCTCACACTCTCCGAACACACACATATACACACACCTTCTTTTTTCCTGGAGTAAGTTGTCAATATTATGCTTCATCTCTCAGTACTTCAGCATGCATCACTCACATCACTAACAACATCACCTACCACTAGATCCACATTCAACATTCCCAGTTGTCTTTTATACCTATGAGATTTTTTCCTAAAACAAAATCCAATCAAGGCTTATGTTTTGCCTTTGGTTGTTGGGTCTCTGGTTATCTGAAACAGAGCTCAGACTTTAACAGACATGCAGATCACCTGGGGATCTTATTAAAATGCAGATTTTGATTTTGGATGTCTAAGTGAGGCCTGAGAATCTTTGATTCTAACAAGCGCCCAGGTGGTCCCAATGATGCTATGGGCCCAGGCCCACCCTTTGAGTAGCAAGGACAGGACAGTGCCCCTCTTATTCTTCCCACAGTGACACTCACTCCTTAAAGAGTCCAGGCCTATTTCTTGTAAACTGATGCACATTTTGGTTATTCCACTATGCCATTAACTTCTTTATCCTCTGTATTTACTGTAAACTGAAAGTTAGGTGTAAGACTTGATTAGTTTCCACTGACATCTTTGGAAGGAATGCTTCATAATGCATCCCAACAGGAACACCTAATGTCAGTTATCCTACCATTAATGGTGTGCTAGGACTTTGTCACTTGGTTAAGGTGATGACCAGACGTTTCCATTGTAATTTTTAAAATAAAAATTTAAAGAGTTCCTGCAAAGAGTGAGAACCACGGGGCAGTGGCAATCAACAGCTACAATGCTTTGGAAGTAAGTAACCTGGCTGCATATCAGATTGATAACTCAACTATACAGAGAAAAAAATCCTTCACGTTGGTCTCTGATGGGGTAAGGCTGACTCCCTGCAGGCCAACTCCATCTGGCCTTGCAGCTGCCCCTGAGCCACAGGAGGGCTTCTCTGAAGAGGAGGGAGTCCCTCACTCACCCATGTTACCTTTGCTCACCTGAATCCCAAGCAGGGCTGCCTTGCAATGACAATGGTGTCTACCACAGTAAGGGCACCCACCATTTATGAACGTTAACCATGTACCAAGCAGCATGCCAAACCCTATAGAGTAGGTGCCATGGATGGAAAGTTTGTGTCCCCCACAATTCATATGTTGAAACCCTAACCCCCAATGTGACGGTATTAGGAGGGGGGCCTTTGGGAGGTGATGAAGTCATGAGGGTGGGGCCTCATGATGGGATTAGTGCCCTTATAAAAGGCATGCCAGAGGCTCCAACCCTCTTTCTACCATATGAGGACACAATGAGAAGTCAGCAGTCTGCAACCCAGATCAGGGTCCTCACCAGTGCCTGACCATGCAGGCACTCTGACCTTGGACTTCCAGTCTCCAGAACTGTGAGAAATGAATTTCTGTTGTTTATAAGCCACATACTCTATGGAAATTCTTTATAGAGAGAGTTTTCTCAAGGAAAATGAGGACAACAAGAAGAAAAGCATAGTGGAAGGGGATAAAGAGGTGAGTAGTTACTTGATGAGAAATCATCCAAGCTGTAAGAGTTTGCCTCTGTATACGACACCCCGGGATGATGATAGAAGGTGATGGATGAAGACTACATCTGGCATTCCCAACCTGGCACCTGTGACCCTATCAGGCCCAAACAGCTGTGTTATCATCTGGAGAAAAGGGGTCAGTATGTTTCATGGGGTGGGGTAAAAGAGAAGGGAGACTGTGGGTGCTGTGTATGGTAAGTAGCTCTCTTGAAGGAAAAGAAAGCAAGCCCTGATTTGTAGTGGTTGTGATGTAAATTCTCCCACCATGGGCAATTTCAAGCTATGAATGTTTAGTAACTGTCTTGCAAGATTCTTGAGTATTTAGCAGCTTCTATGAATGCTACGAGTCAGATCTACCACGCCACTAGGCAGTGCAACTGACCGTTTACATGCCAGCCAGGCCCGTGCGACCCAAGCGTACCCTGTCCTGTTCTGTGAAGGTGACATTTTAGTAACTTTGTTTCTGTTTTTTTTTGAGACAGGGCCTCACTCTGTTGCCCAGGCTGGAATGCAGTGATGGCATCTCAGCATCTTGACTCACTACAATCTCTACCTCCCAGGTTCAAGCAATTCTCTTGCTCAGCCTCCTGAGTAGCTGGGATTACAAGTGCCTGCCCAGCTAATTTTTTTGTATTTTTGGTAGAGATGGAGTTTCACCATGTTGGCCGGGCTGGTCTCGAACTCTTGAGCTCAGGCAATCTGCCCACCTCAGCCTCCCAAAGTGCTAGGATTACAGGCATGAGTCACTGCACCTGGCCATGTTTCAGTAACTTTGATGGTTACTTATTCAAAACTAGCAGAGTGTCCCTGAAGTTCAGTTAAGAAAAAGTAGTTCTCAAAAGCATATCCTTTGTCTAAAAGGCACCGGAAGTCAGAGAGCAGGAGACCATTTGATTAATCTAAATTTAAATTCGAGTCATCGTGTAGCTGAATTATTGGGACTATGGTAAATTTCTGATTGTCTCCTCTACGTGAGTTTTTTAAAAATACAAGAAAAAAGCCAACGGTGATTTTCTAGAGTCACTTTTAAAGTTTAAAAACCAGGCATGTTCTTTGTGAAGTGTTCATGCATTTCCAAAGTGGATAAGAAACGGGACTTATGGGACTGGAAGTCCACAGAGCGTGGAGAGGCTTCTTGATGCAGTGTGGCCACCAGAGAAGAGCAAGGAGGGGACCTGACACCCGGAGAAAGAGCAGCCAAGAGACCCGAGAGGAGCAGGTGAGATGCGCAGGGAGAAGCAGGGGCGCCGCCTCCCTGCCACTCCCTTGGGCGGCCCTGCCTACACCGTCACCATGATCTGGTCCAGAGGTTTGCGCTTGAGGTCAGGCACTGTGGCCACCTTGCTGGGGTACCCCACGGGGAGCAGCATCAGCAGCTTTTCATGTGCGGGGCGGCCCAGGAGCACCCTCAGTCGAGGGCCACAGTTGAGAGGAGTGGTAGTGACAGTCACCAGACCTGCGTTCTAAAATAAGAGGACAAGAAAGCATTTTAAAGTCCGCAGACAGAATGACTGCTCTCCCTTCTAACCTGGGGACCTTCTTGTCCCGTTTATACCTGCTCTTCCTATCATTTCCCTGAAGCTGGGCAGCAAAGAGGCTGAGAGCTCAGGTAATGGTATCGTGAACCTCCCTGCCCCCACCAATCTCCCCATCCCCTCCCTTCTTTTTAACCAAGCAGTGGGAAGCTTCTGGAAGAAGAAAAATACTATTATTTTTCATTGATGCTTAAGAAATAGGAATGGTTATTTTACAGAAAAATACTGTAGGAATACATTATAGTAAAGGAAAGGCAAAAACCACAGGGAGTTCCTTTTAGCTAAGTGATTGGTCTGTGTCCTGGTACAAGAACCAAATGATAAGAGCAGTCCACCAAAGCAGTGTACTAGCCCAAATGTGACATAATTTTCCTACTAAATATTCCTTTTTTTTTTTTTTTTTTTGAGACAAGGTGTGGCTCTATCGCTCAGGCTGGAGTGCAGTGGCATGATCTCAGCTCACTGTAACTTCTGCCTCCCAGGCTCAAGCTATTCTCCCACCTCAGCCTCCTGAGTAGCTGGGACTACAGGCATGCACCACCATGCCTGGCTATATTTTGTATTTATTTGTAGAGACGGGGTTTTGCCATATTGCCCAGGTTTGTCTGAAACACCTGAGTTTAAGTGATCTGCCTGTCTCGGCCTCCCAAAGTGCTGGGATTACAAGTGTGAACCACAATACCTGGACAATTTTCCTGCTAAATATTCTTTCCTGAACTCCAGTGATCCGCCTGGAATCTATGATTTATTATCAATAACTCTAATATTGGCATTTGAACCATATATATATATGAACCCATATATACGTGAACCCATATGTGTGTGTATATATATCTATCTACACATGCACATATGCACATATATGAATCTAGAGTGACTTGATATAGTTTCTTGCTGAAGGTCTTTTATACAACATCATTATATACCTTGATTAACAAAGATTTCACAATACCTGAGAGACTGTTCTCAAGAATACATGCATCATAAAACCTAACTGATTTCTTCTTTCTGTCATTAGCTCTACTTTATCATGGTGTTTCTTCTCCTTGATCATATCTTCACATAGTATTTGAACTTGGAATGGATAAATCTTAAACTTTTTTGAGAAAATAATTACACCTTAATTTGGTGTCATTTTATATTTTGGTCCTTTTCAAGGCATAGCTTTTACTCCATACTTAATTTTGTATGTCTCTAGCAGTAGAAACCTGCAGATACACAGACCATATTAAACAATTCCTCTTACTAATATTATTAATGTTAAGTTGACTTCTATTATTGTTTTATCTTTCACTCTCTCGATGTGAGTACTTTGGTCTTATTATAGGTCAGGATTTTTTAAACTGGAATCCTCAGACCCCCAAAGGGCCAAAGATTGAATTTGGCAGGTCCATGAACTTGAATTTGAAAAACAAAGTCTTTATATTCACTAACATCTAACTGAAATTTAGCAGTTTCTTCCTTTGTAAATGTAGGCAGCAAACCTCAGTAGTGTTAGCAATATCTATGACTTTATCACCAATGAAATCCAGTTATTTTCATATCATTTTACTGTTGTTATAGATATTTTAGAATATCATTACATTCATCACTACTTTAAAATTATAGAGCTACTACTAGCTCTTGGTATTTAATATATTAATAAAGGCTTGTATATTTTATTCTAAACGACAACCACCACGGCAAGCTCCTATGACTACAGAGCCAACCATGGGAGCAGAGCTTCCCCACCCAGTAAAATGCTGACGCCTGTTGATGGGGGACTCAGTGGCCAAGGGGTACCCCATCGACCTCTTTCCAAGCCTCCAAATAACAAACATCTAAGTAAAAGCAATGAGGAGCTTCCAGACACTTCCCCCTCACTGCCCCTTTCCAGCTTTTCCAATCAGATCACCACCTCTAAACCTGACCAGGAAGTTCTGGAAGCTGCCTCTATAAGACATGCATGGCGCGCTTATTGGACCCAGTCACCGTACTGGAGACAGGGGCTTCATGGAGACTTTTTTCCTCCATCACTAATCATAACCTACTCTCGGGATTATGCCTTATGAAAGCTAGGGGGCAGCAAACTCAATGGCAAAGTGAAAAAGACTGCCCGCTGCAGAGGCACCCGGGCAGCCTTGTGAGCTGAGCTTACTGCTGGCTTCGCTGCTTCTTCCAGGACCCTCAATCAGGTAGCGGTGCCCTGCAGTCTGACGCCGCATGGTGATTCCATTATTTACCTGCTTACAGATTCAGGAAGGAAATCAATGCCAGCTCCTTCAGGATAATTTTTCCAATAACCTAAAACACATTTCAATGACTACATTTTGGGAAGTGTTATTCAACATACATACTTTTCTTTGAGATAGTGAAGAAGCTCTTTTTTTTTTTTTTTTTTTTTTTTTTGGAATCCATTGTCTCTTAAAAGTGTGATTACTTGCTCTTGCTCTTATAATCTCGTTTTCTACGTTTATTTTATGGGTTTACCATCTCTCTCTATCCCCTACCCAGCCCCCAGTGTCTGCTAGAATATACACTTCATCAGACAAACTATCCCCCGTGGCTCCCAGGAACTGCCACATAGAAGGAGCTCAGAGGCCGGCATGGTGGCTCACACCTGTAATCCCAGTACTTCGGGAGCCTGAGAAGAGTGAATCACTGGAGCTCGAGAACAGTGAATCACTGGAGCTCAGGAGTTGAGACTAGCCTAGGCAATATGGCAAAACCCCATCTATACAAAAAAATGTAAAAATCAGCCAGGCATGGTGGTGAATGCCTGTAGTCCCAACTATTCAGGAGACTGAGGTGGGAGGATCACTTGAGCCCAGGAGGTCAAGGCTGCAGTGAGCTGTGATAGCGCCACTGCACTCCAGCCTGAGTGACAGAATGAGACCCTGTCTCAGAACAAAACAAAAAGGAGCTCAGAAAATATTTGTTGAGTGAATGCGTTGTTGAGTGAATGCATGAACAGTTTGAAAACTATACAGCAATCCTGCTCCATTTCATGTTAGCACTGCTCTCGTTCCTATGCAGATGGAATTTTTGAAAAGCATGTGACCATCTTCCTAATGCCATGCAATACAAACTTCTCAGAAAGGGGGCTCTATGAAGAGCCCTTCTCATGGCTTTTTAGTCATTCCATCTTCTCTAAGAGCAACAGTAAACGTATCCAGGGAGTTAGCCTCTGTGACTTTTAGGCTCCAAAGTTCTTCATGTGTGTCTGCCAAAACCCTTGAAACTTCATGTTGTTACAGATGACGGCAAACACACCCCTAATTTTTCTAACCTTGAAATGCTATGATAAGTGAACTCCCAACTTGTTGAACCATCGTACTCACCAGTCCAGGTTTCCAGAATCAGTTCTCACATCAGAGTTACCTCACTTAGGAATTCTACTTTAGATTAAAAAACAATTTCCAAATGTCCCTGAATTGAAAACTCAGCTGAAATGTTCTAATAAGGCCACCCTTTAACCCTTGATGTCCCAACATACCTGCAAGGCAGCTAGCAGGATGCCACAAGCAATGGAAACGCTGATCTCATTGTAGTAGTGGACTTTTTTCTTGCCATTTGCAGCAAAACCATGTACTTGTTTGAAAATGAGAATCAAAATAGGGGCAGTATCCAAGTACTCTTTAATCCAGTTGGTTCTGTGAAGAGAAAAGAGATTCAGGAGAATATTTGCCCATATTTTTTGTTCTCTTTTACTACCTTAGCTTCTTTATGATAAAAATAAAAACCTATTTACTCATCTTTTATATTTAAATTGAAGAGCTACAGAATTTTTATTTTTGTCTCATTCCTCTTTTTCTGACCAGGATCATTCAATTTCATAAACATGTCTTAGTAAGTGCCTAGTATGGCAAGACATATGAAATGCTGAAAGATACAAGGGCAGGTCCTATTACCCAGTATGCACTGGGTCAAAATTCAGCCAGGGAGAAGGCAAGGATGGCAGTGAGGTTTAGCCAAAATCACAAAATCACAGGTGGGCAGATGGCAATGCTGTTCACCCAGTTACAGAAAAAAGGAAGGGAACTTCTGCGGGAGAGGGAGATCATTCACGTGAGGTATAAATGCAGAGCTGAATTTTTGTTTTCCAGCTCAGAATATCTCTTTCTTGATTTCATTACCCTGGCCCACACATTTTGGCAGAAGTTTTATTCTAGCACAGATAGTCAAAAAGGACAGAGAGTCATATAATCCCATATATTGGGATTTTACCTTAGGATATCTTATGTCATTCATTAGTAAGAGACAATCACCATTCATTTCATTTCTAGCCTGATTATGCTTCCTCGTTCCGAAGCACACGAAACTCATTTGTGTATTTCTCCATTGTTCCCCTTATACTATGAACGTCTGTATGTTACACTTTCAAAGCTACTTAACTGTACTTCAACCAGCTTAGTTACATTTGACTATTGTCATTTCTTTTCTCCCTACAAAGAGGGAAAATGGTAATGTTTTAGAAGATCTGCACTGGAGCTGGACTGTCTTGGCCACTGGGCAAGCTACTTGGCCTCCCATGGAACTGTTACCTTCTCTGTAAAATGTACTCTTGTGTACCCAATCCCTATGGTTATTGCAAGGGTGAAAATAGTTAAAATACATAAAGTGGTTTTTAATAAAGCCAAGCATCAGAATTTTAAATCATGGAAATATCAACACAGAGGAGCCACTTGTAATCCACTTTCCTGACTCACTCGATGAACCAACACTCTCCATTCCCTCCATAGAGCACGCGGACTGTGACTTCGATGCCCGGAGCAGACCCCGAGGGCTGCATTTGTTGAGGGACCACAGTGAAACTACTTACACTGAATTCCCCTCCACTTTTTTCCTGGAGTTGAGGAAGCCAAAAAGTTACTAAGGCCTCACAGATAACTACACTTGTGCTAAACTTGTCCTAAAACTAAAACCTGCTTAGTAAAATGATTGGGAAGACCTGATCACTTTAGCAAAATGTAATTTGCTTCATGCAAGATCTTCAGAAGAATTTCGCCATTTTATGTTCAGATGGGTGAAAAGTGAAGTAATTCCTCAATTATTTACTAAGCAAATAATTGAGTCAGAGCCTATTTACCAAACACTCACATGGCGATATGGGAGTGAGCTCTGTCTTAACTTCCATAATTCCTCCCAGAGGCAGAATCAAGCTTATCTACACTTACAACAAAGCCAGGACATGGTGGTGGTGGTGATTTTATTTTAAGAAGCCAAGGCGAACATCCCCAATTCCACCACTGTTTGTACCTCAGTTTCTTGAGATCTGTGACCCAGCGATGTCCCATCCTTTTCATATAGTTGATCTCCTCTTCCTCCTCAATGATCTTTCGAATCTTGTGCTTCACATCTGGGTCCTTCACAACCACGAAGGTCCAGGGCTCTGTGTGGGCCCCACTTGGGGCTGTTCCTGTCACCCATTCCATTAAAATCAGAAATTAAAACTGCAGGAAAGTGTGAGGCTGCTAATTAAGGAGAGGCTCATCCCTGTAGTCCAAGCACTTTGGGAGGCTGGAGCTGGAGAATTAAAACATTTTTGCACTTTTTTTTTTTTAAACTAGCAGAGTGTGCTGGTGTGTGCCTGTAGTCCCAGCTGCTTGGGAGGCAGAGGTGGGAGGATCGCTTGAGCTCAGGAGGCAGTGAGTCATGATTGCACCACTGCACCCTAGCCTGGCAACGGGGTGACATCCTATCTCTTAAAAAATTTTTTTTCTAAGGATAAAGATAATAATTCATACTTGGCCGGGCGCAGTGGCTCATGCCTGTAATCCCAGCACTTTGGGAGGCCGAGGTGGGTGGATCACCTGAGGTCAGGAGTTCAAAACCAGCCTGGCCAACATGGTGAAACCCCGTCTCTAGTAAAAATAGAAAAATTAGCCGGGTGTGGTGGTGGGCGCCTGTAATCCCATCTACTTGGGAGGCTGAGACAGGAGAATTGTTTGAACCTGGGAGGCAGAGGTTGCCGTGAGCTAAGATCATCCCATTGTACTCCAGCCTGGGCAACAAGAGTGAAACTCTGTCTCAAAAAAATAAATAAATAAAAATAATTCATACTTGCTCAAAATGAAGTTAATCTGGAAAACAAATGCCTGGCAGGGAACCCTGTCATGCTGCTGCCAAGTTCATTTTGTTCAGCGTCAGGTCAACTGATCAATGATCAAGCTCTGCAGTTCCAGGGTTATGGGAACTCCACCTCTGCTTCTTTAATTATGTGGCAGAAAATGTCCCCAAGTAACTGCACCATGACCACTAAGGAAAGAAACTCAGAGGGGAAATTTTGACAGCCAGAGTTCTCCAGACTGTTGTTTCTTTTGGTATTCTTGAAAAAAAAATAATAAAGTTGTGAAGGTTATTGAAGAAGGCAAAATGTATACGGTAAGATGGTTTTTAAAACACTCCTCAAAAGGCAACTTAGTTATACAGTGTTTGGTCCCTATATCAAAGCTATTAGTGTGGCACTGTGAGGTTTATCCTTGGGGACACACGACAGTTGGGGAAATTCTTTTTTTTTTTTTTTTTTTTTTTATGGAGTCTCAGTCTGCCACCAGGCTGGAGTACAGTGTCACTTATCTCGGCTCAGTGCAGCTTCCGCCTCCCGGGTTCAAGCAGTTCTCCTGCAAGCGATTCTCCTGCCTCAGCCTCCCGAGTAGCTGGGACTACAGGTGCCCGCCACCACATGCAGTAGAGACGGGGTTTCACCATTTTGGCCAGGTTGGTTTTGATCTCTTGACCTCGTGATCCGCCTGCCTCGGCCTCCCAAAGTGCTGGGATTACAGGCGTGAGCCACCAGGCCCAGCCCAGTTGGAGAACTCTTAGACATGGGTACTCAATAAGCACAACCATGTGTCATTCTACTCCCAAGGAGACTTCAGGAACTCTCAGCCCACACCTTGATCAGTTCCAGTGTCCCAGGGCAAAGCTTCACAGTGTATCACCTTTGTCCAAGGAGCCTCAGTTCCCTGTGGGATTCCGGTGAGAGTAGGGGCCAGCTTCTGATCTGGGTGTCGTCCCTCGGCCCTAGAGATGGCCCACTGTTCCCAGGGGGAGACCACAGTGACTCACAGGTGAGATATTTCAGAAGCAACTCTTCCTTCCTTCCCAATGGATAGTTTAATCCACCGATGGAGGGAGGAAGGGCTGCAGACTCTTGGTGGGGTTCTTGCTTGCCACACACCACTCCCAACACTATAAGTCACAACTGGCTTGGGAAATGCAAGTCAAAAGCTAAACATGAGGCCCCAATTTCTGCACAGAGTGATTCCAGTTAACTTTGTACCCATTTTATTTGTTTAGTAAATATTTGTATCTCTAAACACAAGAAATAAAGTTTTCCCTAACGTTTTTAGTTGTGTCAAATTCACCTTCGCAGCATATGTGTACATACACATATACAAATACAGATTCAGGTAAAGGTGAAATTTAGTAACTGCTGTTAGTTAGACTAAGGACTCAACAATCTAATGTGTTTGTATTTCTAACCGAAGTAAAGTATTTTATTCTTGCTTCCTTTCACGTTGGACAATAGATTAACAATGAGCACGTGAAAATTTTTGCAAATAAACTTAAATGTGGTTTATGTAAGAATAAGACTCCAATCACAGGAGATTCTCAAGTAGTGAGATTTCTCTTATTTCTCCTCCCCATTTTCTGTAGTTCTTATTTTATTTTCCTCAGTGGAAATATTAATTTACATTAAAGTGGGTTTTTTCTTTCTTTGATTTACTTTGCAAATTTACGTAAGTAAATTTTGCTAGTTAATGAGAATACTGGACTATAGCATCACGGTGTGTAATATAAGAAATTTGCTTCCAAAGAAAACAAATATAACTGAGTATGCAAGTGTGTGTGTGTCTGGTGTGTTTTAAGGGGAGGGAAAGAAAGAAGCTGTATCTTCTCCAATATATTAATATAATGATGTGATCAGAAATCTTGGTTTTTAATTAAAAGATTATGAACTGAATAATTGCAGAAGTTTTGAATTATTGTCACATCTGCTTCCAAGAAGCTTGTAATAGTCAAAATGTGGAAAGTAGAAGTCATTGTGTTTCTGGCAGTCACTCAGCACTTGGGTAAGACTTTATAGATAAGCATATCACTCTAGGCTTTATTCACTATGTTTAAACTTTGACATTTTTCCATTGTTGGAGTCACACTAGTAAAGTGGCTAACATTTCCAAAAACCCCATATGCAAGTACAGACCTGCCGTTCTGATGACATTATCAATGACTTCCATTGGAACTTGCTCATTACTTATGAACCTGACTGACCGTCTCTTGTTGAGAAGTTCATAAAATTCCTGAGACCTCTTAACCATTTCCTTCTCAGGATAGTGTGTATGAGGGAAGGGGATGTGTTCAACACTTTCTTCTGATTCTTGCCATTCATCAGCATCTGCAAATAAGAACAAGAAAGGTAACAAACTAAATGATCTCTTGGTCATAAGGTGACCACTGGGGACAAGAAGATAAAGTTCTCAAATGTGTAAGATTATGAACTAAAAAAAATACAATAAAATAAAAAAGAATAGATTTACAGAATCCTTACCACTGATCTTGGCTATCCTTAAAACTCCAGCTGGGTGCAATGGCTCACACGTGTATTCCCAGCTGCTCTGGAGACTGAGATGAGAGGGTCGCTTGAGCCCAGGAGTTCAAGGCTGCAGTGAGCTATCATCACACCACTGCACTCTAACCTGGGCAATGGAAAGACACCCAGTCTCTTTTTTTTAAAAAAAAAAAAAAAAGAAAAGAAAGAAAGAAAAAGAAAAGTCCAGGCGTGGTGACTTATGCCTGTAATCCTAGCATTTTGGGAGGCCAAGGCAGGCGGATCACTTGAGGTTGGGCGTTAGAGACCAACCTGGTCAACATGGTGAAACCCCATCTCTACTAAAAATACAAAACTTAGCCAGGTGTTGTGGTGAACACCTGTAATCCCAGCTACTTGGGAGGCTGAGGCACAAGAATCGCTTGAACCTGGGAGGCAGAGGTTGCAGTGAGCCAAGATTGCACCACTACACTCCAGCCTGGGTGACAGAGTGAGACTCCATCTCAAAAAAAAAAAATAAATAAATAAGAAAAATAAAAAGAAAAGAAAAAAGAAGCAAAAACTCCAGACTAATTATAAATCAAGAAAAGAAAAATTTTACCTACAAAAAGATGAGGAATTCAAATTTCTGTTAATGATGGACTAGGTTATTTGAAACAATCTCCCATCAGCTGAAAACCACTCAGATCTCTAAATAAAGTTCTTTTCTTTATTTAGAAAAATAAGTCTTTTTTGAAATCATTGAGCCTACAACATAGCAATAAATTTGCAGGCCAAAGTGAAGAGAAAATTTGAACTCACACAGGTAAATAAGCGCAGAAGGTACTTTTTTTTCCCTACTGTATTTGCCAATCCCCACACATTTGAATTCCATTTTTATATCTGCAGGGATCAAGGGTGACAGATATCAAAGCCCAGGCCCACACAGAATGTGAAGTCTAATAAGCTAGGACCCCAAAACTACATCCAAAGGGGAAGTATGAATCATAAATAAATTATTCCTCAAGGGTTTACATCAGTGTGATGAGTCTTGCTTCAAACTTGAACTTGGAATAAACTTATCCTGTCTGAAAGTATAGGACTAGTTGTCTAGCAGAAGCAAATGCCAATATACAAATAATTTTAAGTATAATCATCAGCAACCCACCAAATGCAATCAGGCACATAAAGAAGAAAACATCTTGGACAAGAAACAGCAGAATCCATTTTTTTAAAAAATAAAGTCAGATGCCCAAAGACTCCAAATACTGGAATTATCAGACTCAGAAGATAAAACAACCTATATTTAGAGAAAAAAGACAAACTTATATAAATCCGTATGTAGGGTACATGAAAGAATAAAAGAAAAAAAATTAAAAAGAAGAAAAACCAAAAACAACAGCAAAAATAAAGAATAAAAGTTAATATAAACAATCTGAAAAAACAGAAAACTTCTGGAATTGGAAAATAATAGAATTAAGAACTTAAATGGATGGTTAACTAGCAGGTTAGACTAGCTACAGAAAAATTGAAAAACTGAGAGATAAGTCAGAAGAAAACACTTAGAATGGGGCAAGGAGAGGCAAAAAGATAGAAAATACAGAAGAAAGGGCAAGAAAAAATGGAGCAGAGTGAAGAGTGAGAATGTCTAATATACATATGATCATTTTATTCAAAGAGAATGTGGTGGAGGCAATATTTGAAAAGATGGAATCTGAGATTTTCACGGAACTCATGAAAAATACCAGATCTACAGATTCAAGAGGGCTGGGGCTGGTAAGTTGTTTTTTGTTTTTGTTTTTGTTTTTGTTTTTGTTTTTTTACAAGAACGTTTTTCTTTCTCTTCTTTTAAAATTAGAAATGGGGTTTTGCTATGTTGCCAGGCTGGACTCAAACTCCTGGCCTCAAGGGTTCCTCCAGCCTCAGCCTCCTGAGTAGCTGGGAGTACAGATGTGCACTATAGCACCTGACTATTTTTAATGACATTAAACACAGCTGCTACAAAGGGGAAAATGTGATTAAAAAGAAGACACCAAACTTCAGTTTCATAATTGATCCTGACAACAAAAAAAGTAAATCAGGGGCTACATTAGATGCAAAACTACAAGTTATTTCAGGCTTCTTGCCTACAGGTAAGCTATGTAAATAGCATACTTTTACTCTGAGGCCTAGTAAATTCAAAGAGTTATTTTAAAAAAACTATACATTTTACAATAAAATATAAAGATATTGAAAGCAACCAGAGGGAAAAAAAAGTTACCTCGGGAAGAACACAGAAATAACTGAATTTTTAACCAAGGCAAGAATAGCTGCACTGAATAGAAATGAATTAAATGTTCCCGATAAAGGCCAATGATTATTTTAAGTCCAAGTATGTTGTTTATAAGTGACACACCTAAAACATAAGCATATAGAAAGGTTGAAAGTCATACCATGTATCACATAACTATATTAGTTGAAAAAAATTAAGGCAAAAAGCATTGTTGATAATAAAAACGGTCTGTTTATAATAACACAATTTAATTTGCTGAGAAAACATAATTTTAAATATGTATGCAATTACATTACACGACCTCAAGACAGACTTTTAAGAAGAAATGTAAAAATCCACAATACAGTGAAAGATCTTAACACATCTCTCTCAGTAACGATTGAATAAGCAGAAGAAAAAAATCAGTAAGGATACAGAAAATTTTAACAAGGTAATTGACAAAGATGACCAAATAGACTTATATAGGACACTGCACCAAACAACTACAGAACATACATTCTTTTTAAGCAGACTTATTGGACCAGAAAATAACTCTCAACATATTTTAATGGCCCAATAGCTAATGATCTCTAACTGTAATGCAACTAAACTAGTAACAAAAAGATAACTTAAAAAAACAAACAAAATACCTTTATGAAAATTAGAAAATATTTCCAAATTAAAATATGACATTATTATGTATTGAAAAATCTATGCAATAACATTAAAATATTATATTTAGAGGGAGATTCCAAGCCTCACATACATACATTAGATAGGAACAAACCCTAAAAATTAATGAATTAAAGATCAATTTCAAGAAGTTAGAAAAAATACCCAAATAAAACCAAAGATGGAGAAAGAAGCAAATATTAAATATGACATATTAAGGAAAACAACAGCAAACATCCAATAGGGAGAAACATCAAAACCAAAGCCGGTTCTCTGTTGAAACTGATTAAATTGGCAATCCTCTGGCAAGATTGATCAAGAAAAAGAGAAAGCACAAATAACAAATTTCAGGAATGAAAAAGGAGGCATCACTATAGATGTTACTGTCATTTAACAAACAGTATGAGAATATTTATTATACCAATATATTTTAGAAAATTTATATAAAATAGACCAATTTCTTCAAAATATAACCTGCCAAAACTAACTTCAAAATAGAAAAACTGAAAAGTCTGCTGACTATTAAATAAGCTGAGTTAGTAAGCAAAGATTTTCCTAAAAGAGAAAGCAACTTTACATTCGGATAGCTTCATGAAGGAGTTCTACCAAACTTTCAGAGATAATACTGCTAAATTCTCAAACTCTTCCCAACATTAGAAAAAGAGTAAACATCCTCTAACTCATTTTATGGAATGACCACAACCTGGATACCAAACGTAAGTAGGGCATTAAGAGAACAAAAAACTACAGGCTCAGTTTTCTCACAAACACGATACAAAAATCCTAAACAAAATACGAATAACAGAATTCAGCAATTTGTTGAAAAAATACATCTTGAGCAAGTTGGAGTTATCCCAGGAATAAGAGGTTAATTTAACATTAGGAAAACAATCTTTTTTTTTTTGGTCACATTAAAAAGCTGAAGAACATAAACCACAAAAATCATTACAATGCAGAAAAGATGTTTGATAAAACTTGACATTTATCTCTTAGTAAATTTGGAGAAAGGAACTTTCTTAATCTCATAGTCTAATTATGGGGGGGAAATCCCCACCACATCCAACTATGGTAATGATGAATTGTCTAACTATGAGGGGAAAATCCCCACCACATCCAGCTATGGTAATGCTGAATCTTTGAAACCCTTCCATCAGAGATTGAGAACAATAGGATGTTGAATGTTCTCACCACAACTCTAAATATGAAATATTAATTTTTAAAGCTTTTAGAAGAGAATATAAGAGAATGTCTTCACGACCTTGGAGTGGAGAAGAAACAAGACATAAAAAGATTAAACGTAAGAAAAGAACTGTTACATTTAACTACATAAAATTTCTCATTACATCTGCCTGCTTTTGCCACTTCTTCTGTTTTCCCCATTACCCTCCTGTTCAGAGAGTTCTGCAAGCTCATTATAAGTAGTTCAAGATCTTAGAGAAGATAAAGGTGCAACAGAAGGGTCAATCACTGAAGCTAAAAATGATAAAACTTAGGAGAAACAAAATGAGCCCACAGAAGATAAGAAGGATGATGTGTCTAGTGCACTAAAAGCTTCACCAAGGGCAGACCCTGTTATCTTATTTTAGAAGAAGATTTTCCAGTAAATAACATTGTGAAATTCAAGATAGTTTCTACAAACAAGGGTTCTGAAGACTGTATTGTCAAATTCCCAGATACTACATTTCAGTATTCTCAAAATTGTTTGTTATATATCCAAAATTTCACAGCTCTTCTGAATACTGTTTCTTCATTTCACTTAAGCTCATGAAAAGACATACTTCTGAACTACAAAGATGTCAACAGAAAAAAAATTCTAAGATGCTGTCTTCAAACACTCAAAATTATTGAGGGGAAAATGTTTGGATGGCAAAAAAAAAAAAAAAAAAAAAAAAAAAAAAAAGATATTCCTTGCTTATCTTAGGCTGGTCTTGGGCTTCCAGTTGTT